CAAGGCAACAGAGCTAATAACAAAACCAATATTCAATTTCAATTTTTTTTTTCTTTTAACGTTTAGACCAAATCAGGTTTTGGGGCAATTAATACCGTTTTTGACGCATAGAAAGATATCTCTGTCAGCCAAAGCAAATCTCATAAGAACGGTATTTTGGCCGACATTGGGCTACCAGTGCCAAACATGGACCTTTGCTACAACTAATGAGTGTAAGATTGTCACAACAGAGAAGATATGTCTTATGAGCGCTGCTGGTGTGACAAGAAGAGATAAAATCAAGAGTGAAGAAATTAGAAGAAGACTAGGACTGACACCAGTCATACATATCACAGAACAAATTAGTTGGATGGGCCACATGATGAGAATGCCCTGGTCCAACTGCCACAGAAAGCCACGCTGAAGAAATATAACGAATACAGAGCAAGGGGAAGACCACGAAAGACATGGAGCGACATCATCAGGAGCAACCTAATATAAATATACACCATCTTGTACAATGCATTGGGAAAAGAGAACGACCGACCCTTACATCTCCCCCCTCCTCCCAACACTTCGCTGAGGTAAATGGTGAAAGAGAAAAATAAGAAGTAAAAGAAATTCGACTGCCGTCTAACCCTTTAATTTTTTAATCACTATTCATTCATTAAAAAGATGACAAATATTGATATCTTAAAAGATCTGAACATCAAGGAAGATTGGCTAATAAACCGCATCCTTTCTCGAAAGCTAAAATATTTTGGTCATATCAAGCCCCACGACGGATTGGAAAAAAGTATAGCAGAAGGCATGGTACCAGGAAGGAGGGGCAAGGGCCGACCGACACGAAGATGGGCACAGAATATAGGTGACTCATTGAGTGTGAAAGTGCATGAGGCGGGAGAACTAGCGAGAACAGACTGTGAGGAGAGCGACGTTCTGCAAAGGACCAGCTACATGATGATGATGATGATTCATTCATTGCCGGTACCTAATAAACAAGATACATTTTTATGTTTCGTTGGCCAACACAAAAAATTGGAACAGGAGATCAACGTGAAACAAGCCTGCGTCAGCTGGAGAGACGAACCATTCTGAAAAAAAAAAAAAACATTTCCGATATCATGGGTTTCTGGTTAAAACATACGCTTTGAAATATGCGCATAAGTACGCATTCAGCAAAGTAAATTGTCCAGTCACGTAAATTATAATACGAACAAATTGGTTTGAAACTAAGTGAACGATCTTTTCCCCCACCCCTTTTTTTCAAGTAAGGCCAAGGCATGTTGTGACCAGTACGACCCGAACAACATACCTTCATAATATTATTATATTTAGCTAACTCCATCCATACAATAGTATTTAGCTTCCTACATTTCCTCACCGGTGGTACGGAGTTCGTGCACTGCATTGAGATTCTTCGAACTCAGGCTTGAGTTGGAAGTAAAACGGAGCACTTATGGGTTACTACCCTTTTGTCATTATGTTGATCCATTGTTCAAACCTAAACGTGCCCTACATGTGTTCAGTTTTACACTTCCATACATTTCCTGTTTATATTATATACACTTGACTAAATGTCCTTTGCTTACCCCTCCTACGTGTCCTAAAATTAAACGCTTCCTTACATGTTACCTCTATTTCAACTCCTCCATACATGTTCTATATATATCACACAGCACTGTATATGTCCTCCTTCTGTTAAGCATTTCCCGACATGTCCTATCTATGCTACCACCTTCATACATGTCTTATCCATATCATATAGCATCCTACATGTTCTTTCTATTTCATCCCCCTTCCTATGTGTCCTCTTAATATCATAACTTTCCTTACATGTCTTTGTCATATCATGCACATCTCCACATGTCAGCTATATCATGAAGCTGCTTATGTGTCTTATTTAAATCATACCCACACCAGATATCCTTCCTGTATCATACAGCACCTCACATATCCTCTCTATATCATACAGCACCCCACATATCCTCTCTATATCATACAGCACCCCACATGTCCTCTCTATATCATACAGCACCCACATGTCCTCTCTATATCATATAGCATCCCAGATGTCCTTTCTATATCAAACAGCACCCCACATGTCCTATCTATATCATACAGCACCTCACATATCCTCTCTATATCATACAGCACCTCACATATCCTCTCTATATCATACAGCACCCCACATGTCCTCTCTATATCATACAGCACCCCACATGTCCTCTCTATATCATACAGCACCCACATGTCCTCTCTATTTCATACAGCACCCCACATGTCCTTTCTATATCATACAGCACCCCACATGTCCTCTCTATATCATACAGCACCCCACATGTCCTCTCTATATTGTACAGCACCCCAGATGTCCTTTCTATATCATACAGCATCCCACATGTCCTCTCTATATCATACAGCACCTTACATGTCCTCTTCCTATCATACAGCACCCCACATGTCCTCTCTATATCATACAGCACCCCAGATGTCCTTTCTATATCATCCAGCACCCCACATGTCCTATCTATATCATACAACACCTCAGATGTCCCTTCTACATCGTACAGCACCCCACATGTCCTCTCTATATCATTCAGCACCCCACATGTCCTCTCTATATCATACAGCACCCGACATATCCTTTCTATATCTTACAGCACCCCACATGTCCTCTCTATATCATACAGCACCCCACATGTCCTATCTATATCATACAGCACCTCAGATGTCCCTTCTACATCATACAGCACCCAAGATGTCCTTTTTATAGCATACAGCGGGTCAAGGGTTAGGTTATATTATCTTATGTTAGTATTATCTTTAGGCCCCCCTCCCCCCATACTTTTTAAAATTTTTTTAATTAAAGATCTTCTCAGCACAATGACTATGATATGTGTTGACAGGCCATTCTGCAGTGGATCCTTCAGGAACTGACATTGTAGAGTCAGAGGCTGCAACCTCCACTGGCCCAAACTGCATCTGGGGTCAGAGGATAGCAAGTGCAGTTGACCGAGCTGATAAAGGTGAGTTTAAACAGTTTCAAAACAAGGGTGACTGCGGTCAAGCCAGCATTAGGGGATCTCTGTGGCAAAGTGGTCAAGCTGTTTGCCTTATTCTCTGAAAGTCATGGGTTTGTTTCACAGCTGCGTCATTCAGTTCACGAGTGCAATTTTTACGGAGATCCCTGGGAATTGTCACCAGAGCTAGGGAGTTTGTGCTTTGTGTGATGCTCTCAGCAGGCGGTTAGTCGTTCTGCGGAGAGAGACTGAGCCATATAGGATAAATCCCTGGGCAATGAAGTCGACTTTCTTGACATTACCTTTTAACCTTTTAAGCTAGTATTAAGAAATTAGTAAACTAAACTGTGACTAAGAAGCTTAACGAGGGTGGAAAGGGGAAACAAAATACACGCACTCACACACACTCACATGAAGAACTTTTGTTGTTGCTATTGTTGCATTAAATCCATGTCACTGAAGGTTAGAAAAATAACTCTTATATGCTATATAGAGCCAGTTTTAACATATGGCTGTGAATCCTGGACAATTAATAAACAAGCCAGACAATTTAATGAGGTCTCAGAGATGTGGCTTTACTGAAGAATCCTTAGAATATATTGGACAGATAAAAATAAAGAGCAAACCAGAGCGAGGGCTTGGAGACAACTTATCACAAACATCAGAAAGAGACTTTTATCATTTTTTGTCATGTTATGAGAAGAAGGAAACTGGAACATATTTTGACCACTGGACAGTTTTGTAGGGGAGAAAAAAAGACAGAGGAAAACAACGTGAGAAGATTCTTGACAGCCTTTTGTCATGGCATGGAGGGGTGTCAGCACATGCACTGATACATGCTGCTAAATATCGCAGAATGTGAAGAGGTATGATCGCCCACACCAGTCAGCAAGGCACTTGATCATGATGATTATTATGATGATCAGCAAGGCACTTGATCAACAGAAGGAATGGAAAAGACGCAGACGAACACAGCCAAACATTTCGACCAAAGTATTTATCAACAGAATACTAAATACAGCACAAACTATGACTTGAAAAGCTCAATGGACAAGACAAAGAGGGTAATAAAAAACCAAGGTCAACATGAAACCAAGAAGTACATAATGGGGAAGGAGTGGTGGGGTATGAATTTGAAGTACAATAATGCTTAACTGCTGTCACCCCTTATTTATGTCATCGCAAATTAATAATGTTGTTGGAGACAGCATGCTGTTTAGAAACATGATCACCTTTGACATTGGGCAGGGTACCTGATGATGATAATGACACCACCTAATAACTGATACATTACGGGCAATAAAAAGATCCCCCCCCCCCCCCATTTGGTTACAGAACCTGGTTTCTGGCAGACGCCACTGGGGCCATATAGTTCCTGTAAGAGTGAGGCACTTGGATTGGACTTGGCAAGTTTGCCTAAAAATGTGAGGTAAGTTTCAGAGAAACCATTGCTGTTCCTACTTATTCTTCTTATTAACCTCCTCTTTCTTCTTTCCTTCTTGTTTTTCTCTCACCCCCCCCCCTTTCTCCTCCTCCTCCTTCAACTTCACTTCATCCACCTTGATGTAGGTGTGATGGGAAATGAGCAGGTGGATAGACTGGCTGGTTCTGCACCACTTGGTGGTGAACTGATGTATGACAAGCTGAATGTTGTGAGGGCCCTTTGGGAGTGAGTGAACAGTGCCGAGGCACAGATAGATCATTACAGTCTGAAGAGAATGGCTCTGCGAGGAGTTACAAGGGTATCTGGCCGAGGCTTGACACTCAGGGGAAAGGCAAGATGGAAATACAATCAGACAGTTACTGGTACTATCGGCATTGGAACTCTTTGCTTGCTGCTGAAGATGGGGACGGAGCACTTTTGGGGGTGTCTGAGTGCTATGATGTTGATTCTTAATTCAACAATCAATATTTATCCACATTCTACTCCCTCCACCTCATCCAGAAACCATTACTTAATGTCTGAAAAGGATTGTCTGTTGTTTCTTTTGCTTGCAGATTGTTTTATGAGCGACAGGATGATTTGATCACCACCTTCGAAAATACAGCCACAGACTCCAAGATAGAGATTTATGTTGAGAACACAATTGACACTAGTGCCCTAGTTATCAGATTATCACAGATTTCCTTTGCTGTTAATCTGGTATGATTTTCTGCTTATCAGTCATAGTTAATTTACAGTATGGGCTAGTGTGCAAGAAGTATAGGCTAGAGTGTGAGAAGTGTGGGCTAGAGTGCAAGAAGTATGGGCTAGAGTGTGAGAAGTATGGGCTAGAGTGTGAGAAGTGTGGGCTAGAGTCCAAGAAGTGTGGGCTAGAGTGCAAGAAGTATGGGCTAGAGTGTGAGAAGTGTGGGCTAGAGTGCAAGAAGTATGGGCTAGAATATGAGAAGTTTGGGCTAGAGTGCAATAAGTGTGGGCTAGAGTCCAAGAAGTGTAGGCTAGAGTGTGAGAAGTGTGGGCTAGAGTGCAAGAAGTATGGGCTAGAGTGTGATAATTGTGGGCTAGAGTGTGAGAGGTGTGGGCTAGAGTCCAGGAAGTGTGGGCTAGAGTCCAAGAAGTATGGGCTAGAGTGTGAGAAGTTTGGGCTAGAGTGTAAGAAGTATGTGCTAGAGTGTGAGAAGTATGGGCTAGAGTGTGAGAAGTGTGGGATAGAGTCCGAGAAGTGTGGGCTAGCGTGTGAGAATTGTGGGCTAGAGTACAAGAAGTATGGGCTAGAGTGTGAGAAGTTTGGGCTAGAGTGCAAGAAGTATGGGCTAGAGTGTGAGAAGTGTGGGCTAGATTGTGAGAAGTGTGGACTAGAGTGCAAGAAGTATGGGCTAGAGTGTGAGAAGTGTGGGCTAGAGTGCAAGAAGTATGGGCTAGAGTGTGAGAAATATGGGTTAGAGTGTGAGAAGTGTGGGCTAGAGTCCAAGAAGTATGGGCTAGAGTGTGAGAAATATGGGTTAGAGTGTGAGAAGTGTGGGCTAGAGTCCAAGAAGTGTGGGCTAGAGTCCAAGAAGTGTGGGCGAGAGTGTGAGAAGTGTGGGCTAGAGTGCAAGAAGTATAGGCTAGAGTGTGAGAAGTATGGGCTAGAGTGTGAGAAGTGTGGGCTAGAGTCCAAGAAGTATGGGCTAGAGTGTGAGAAGTATGGGCTAGAGTGTGAGAAGTGTGGGTTAGAGTCCAAGAAGTGTGGACTAGAGTCCAAGAAGTATGGGCTAGAGTGTGAGAAATGCTGGCTAGAGTCCAAGAAGTATGGGCTAGAGTGTGAGAAGTTTGGGCTAGAGTGTAAGAAGTATGGGCTAGAGTGTGAGAAGTATGGGCTAGAGTGTGAGATGTGTGGGATAGAGTCCAAGAAGTGTGGGCTAGAGTGTGATAATTGTGGGCTAGAGTGCAAGATCTATGGGCCAGAGTGTGAGAAGTTTAGGCTAGAGTGCAAGAAGTATGGGCTAGAGTGTGAGAAGTGTGGGCTAGATTGTGAGAAGTGTGGACTAGAGTGCAAGAAGTATGGGCTAGAGTGTGAGAAGTGTGGGCTAGAGTGCAAGAAGTATGGGCTAGAGTCCAAGAAGTATGGGCTAGAGTGTGAGAAGTATGGACTAGAGTGCAAAAAATGTGAGCTACAGTGCAAGAAATATGGGATGAAGTTCAGTAAATGTCAGCTAGTATGCCAGCTTAATGACTTGGATTTCGCTGATGACATTTCTCTTCTGTTCCACTCACAGAATCAAATGCAACAGAAATTAAATATTCTTGAGGCGAGATCATAACAGCTAGGCCTGAAAATCCATAAGAGAAAGACAAAGATAATGAGAATAAATCAGGCAAATAGTATCTTAATGGTATCCCACTCCAAGGTTTCGAGTCATACATCTGATTGGGCAGTAATGTGGATGAAGATGGGGAAACGACAGAGGTATTAAACTACAAATACAAAAGTCAAGAGGAGCTTTCATAGTACTTGGAAATTTGTGCAGGTCATAGAAAATAAAACTAACTGAACTAAAAAATATTTAATTCTAATGTCAAATCAGTACTTTTGTATGGGGCGGAAACATGGAGAACAACTAAGGCAATTACTAATAGAGAATAACTAATACAGAACTTTGGGAGAGAATTAAACAAGTTCCACTGGACCAAGAGGTGAGGAGAAGACACTGGCTTTGGAAAAGACACACACTGAGAAAACCTGGGAACAATATAACTAGAATGACCTTGCACTGGAACCCACAGGGGCATAGAAATAAAGGAAGACCAAAAAACACACGGAGAAGAGAGCTAGAGAGTGAAGTTAAAAAGAGAAAGAGGACATGCAAAGACCTGCATCGAAGGCGAAGGATAGAACAACTTGGCTTGAGTTTATTGAGGGCCTATGCTCCACTGGAGGCTAGATAGGCAGAAGAAGAAGAAGAAGAAGAAGAAGAAGAAGAAGAAGAAGAAGAAGAAGAAGAAGAAGAAGAAGAAGAAGAAGAAGAAGAAGAAGAAAAGGAAGAAGAAGCAGCAACAGCAGAAGCAGCAGCAGGAGTAGCAGCAGCACAGTAGGAGCAGCAGCAAGAGCAGCAGCAGGAGCAGTATGCCAGCAGTGTGCGATAGAATGCTATAAATTTGAGCTGCTGTGCAAGCAGTGGGAGGTACTATACTAGAAATGTAAGCTAGATTACAAGAAATGAAGCCTAGAGTGCTAGAAATTGTGAATAAAAGAAATACTCCTGGTGCTGCTGCTACTATGATTATTACTGTAATCACTACTACTGTGCCACTGCTACCACTTTTACTAATGCTGCTACTACTGTTATTAATACTACTACTGTCATTGATACCACTACTAATGCTGCTACTACTGTTATTAATACTACTACTGTCATTGATACCACTACTAATGCTGCTACTACTGTTATTAATACTACTACTGTCATTGATACCACTACTAATGCTGCTACTACTGTTATTAATACTACTACTGTCATTGATACCACTACTAATGCTGCTACTACTGTTATTAATACTACTACTGTCATCGATACCACTACTAATGCTGCTGTTACCATTACTATTATTTTTACTGCTACTACTGACACTGCTTCTGATACAACTATTACTGCTACTGTCATTATCACTACTGTTCTCATAATTATGACTACTGCTGTTACTAACACTATTACAAGTGCTATCCTCATAAGTGAAACTTTATTTCTTCTTCTTCTTCTACTTCTCCTCTTTCTTCTTCTTCATCACCACCACCTTATTTTTCTTCATCTCTACTTTCTTCTTTATCTTCTTCTTCTTCTCCACCTTCTTCTTCTTCTTTCTCCTCTTCTTCTTCTTCTCCTCCTTCTTTTTCTTCTCCTACTACTGCTGCTACTGCTTACTCGGCACAATAACTACTGATATCTCCCTACCACCACTACCCTCTGTTCCTATAGTCCTGCCACTACTATTCCTACTACCACAACACCACCAACAGAGACAGCCCCAACAACTTAATAATAAACAGTAAAGACATTTCACATTTCAGGCCTTACTGATCGCCAAAGCTGTAGCAGTTGGCCTCTCCAACTCTTTGTCAATCATTTCCAGTCTAGTGGACTCGATCGTTGATTTAATTTCTGGTATTATCATTTGGTGGACAACACATGCTATTAGAACCAGCAATGTTTATGTCTACCCAATAGGTCAGTGTTTGTCCAGTGTTTGTCCATTGTATATCTGGGGTATGTCCAGTGTCTGCCCAGTGTATGCCGAGTATATGTCCAGTGCATGTGGGTGTCAAATGTAGGTACACTGTTGAGTGTATTTCCACCATTTATTCAGTGTATTTCCACTTTTTTCAATGTATTTTCTCTGTCCAATGTATGTCCAGATAAAAAATCTAGCAAAAAGTAGATCAGCGAGCTTCACAATACAAAAAACACAAACACTTTTTGTCCAGTGTATGTCAACACGCCCGTGTGTCACCGGGGCCCTCACGGGAAGCAAAGAATAGTGACACTGCACCCTACCAGGCATGTCGTAAGAGGCGACTAAGGGTAGGGTTGGGCTTGAGGTTGGCTACCTCATCCTGTAAAAACCATAGCCACAAAAACCAACCAACCATGGATAAGTCAAAAAGAGAAGCAAATAAAATCCAGCCAACCAAGATGAGGGAAGGCTCTTCAAATAGAAGAAGTATGACACGGTGTGGAGAAAGCCGCAAGGAGTCCGGATCGTTGACGTACCTCCTCTCAGCTAGGAAAACCTCCAGAATTGGCACCTGGAATGTTAGAACTCTCTATGATATAGGGAGAACAATGGAAGTAGCAAAGGAAATGAAACATTATAGAATTAGTATTTTAGGGTTATGTGAAACTAGATGAACTGGGGCAGGGAAAAGTATTCTAAATTCAGGAGAAACTATTTTGTTCTCAGGACACACAGAGGAAAATTCGCCGCACAGTGAGGGAGTGGCCCTGATGCTATCAAAAGAAGCAGACAGGGCACTAATAGAATGGGAAGCTGTGAGTCCCAGAATAATAAGAGCATCTTTTAGAACAGTTAAACAGAAGGTGAACATCTCGGTAATACAGTGTTATGCACCAACAAATGATAAAGATGCATCTGTTAAGGAAGAATTTTACATGCAGCTTCAAAATATTATAAATAATGAAAGAAAGGGCAACTTAAAACTTTTGATGGGTGACTTGAATGCTAAGATAGGATCAGACAACACAGGTTATGAAGAAATTATGGGGAGACATGGTCTAGGAGTAATGAATGAAAATGGAGAATTGTTCACAAATTTTTGTGCAGGTAACCAGTATGTTATTGGTGGAAGTATTTTTCCCCATAAAAGTATACACAAGGCAACATGGGAATCACCAGACCATAAGACAACTAATCAAATTGACCACATATGTATTAACAAAAAGTTTAGATCATCCCTTTACGATGTTAGGGCTTTCAGAGGTGCCGATGTATTTACTGACCATTTCCTGGTGGTAAGTAAAATCAAGTTGAAACTAAAAAGATATATACCATCTTATAATCATAGAAACCAATATAATGTAGGCTTTCTAAGAGATAAAGAAATTAAGGAACAGTTCTCAGTTTCGGTCTCTAATAAGTACCAGGTGTTGCAGCAGTTAGCTGAAGATGTCAACACAGAAGTCTGCTGGGATCAGATCAAAGGAATCTGGAATGAATCTTGCGTAGAAGTTCTTGGCAAGAAAGAAAGGAAACATAAAGCATGGATAACACCAGAAACCATTAAACTGATTGAAGATAGGAAAAGTAAAAAGGCAGAATTAAACAATAGCAAAAACTAGAGCTGCTAAAGCTAGAGCTCAGGAGAAATACACAGAAGCCAACAAGGAAGTTAGGAGGCATATAAGGGCAGATAAAGTGAAATATCTAAATGATCTAGCACAAGAAGCAGAGACAGCAGCAGCAAAAGGAAACCTCAGAGAACTTTACAGTAACACAAGAAAATTAGTAGGTAAATATAGTCAGCCAACTGGATCAATCAAAAATAGTCAAGGAAAGGTACTTACTAACACTAAAGATCAAATGAACAGATGGGTTGAATATTTTGAAATGCTTCTAAATAGACCAGGCCCAGAGGTTCCCCCAGATATCCAGCCTTTAGAAATGGAACTGGATATCAACTGTGAGATACCATCCAAAGAGGAAATTAGGAAAGCTATAAATCTTCTCAAGGAAGGAAAGGCGACAGGCCCAGACGTATCCCAGCTGAAGCCATCAGGGCCAACATAAACACATCAACAGAATTGCTACATAGATTATTCAGTAAAATCTGGGAGACCGAAGAAATACCAGCAGACTGGAGAGAAGGATATCTTGTGAAACTGCCCAAAAGAGGTGATCTACAGGAGTGTGAAAACTATAGAGGAATTATGTTGCTGTCAGTTCCTGGAAAAATATTAAGTAGAATTATTTTGGAAAGATTAAAAGATGCTATTGATAAAATGCTGAGAGATGAGCAAGCAGGTTTTCGGTCAAACAGATCCTGTACTGATCAGATAGCCACATTACGTATTATAATAGAGCAAAGCATTGAACTGAACTCACCACTTTACATTGGATTTATAGACTATGAAAAAGCATTTGACAGCATAGATAGGGAATCTCTCTGGAAATTGATGGGGCACTATGGAATCCCACAGAAAATTATCAGCTTAGTAAAGGCAACATATAAAGACATGAAATGTCGAGTTCTTCATGAGGGAAAGCTAACAGATGCATTTGAAATAAAAACAGGTGTGCGACAGGGATGTCTTTTGTCGCCTCTCTTATTTTTACTGGCTATAGACTGGACTATGAAAACAGTAACTGCTAACACCAAGAATGGAATTCAGTGGACCCCTACAAAACAGCTTGATGATCTGGACTTCGCTGATGATATTGCTCTTCTGTCCCATTCACGGAATCAGATGCAAGATAAATTAAATATACTTAATGCGAGATCAAAGCAGCTTGGTCTGAAAATCCATAAAGGAAAGACAAAGATAATGAGAATAAATCAGGCAAATAGTAATGTGGTTTCTCTTAATGGCACCCCACTCCAAGACGTGGAGTCGTACACCTATTTAGGCAGTAATGTAGATAAAGATGGAGGAACTGATAGAGAAATTAAAATAAGAATACAAAAGGCAAGAGGGGCTTTCATAGCACTAAGGAATTTGTGGAGGTCAAAAGAAATTAAAAGAAATACTAAACTAAAAATTTTTAATTCTAATGTCAAATCAGTACTATTGTATGGGGCGGAAACATGGAGAACAACCAAGGCAATTACTAATAAATTACAGACATTCATTAACTGGTGCCTGCGCAGAATAGAGGGAATAAAATGGTATGATAGAATAACTAATGTAGAACTTTGGGAGAGAACTAAACAGGCTACAGTGGATCAGGAGGTGAGAAAAAGACGCTGGCGTTGGATATGGCACACACTGAGAAAACAGGAGAACAGCATAACTAGAATGTCTTTGCATTGGAACCCACAGGGGCATAGGAATAAAGGAAGGCCAAAAAACACATGGAGAAGAGAGCTGGAGAACGAGGTTAGAAAGATTGGGAGGACATGGGGAGAGCTCTATGCAATGGCGAAGGATAGAACGACTTGGCGTGAGTTGGTTGAGGGCCTATGCTCCATTGGGAGATAGAAAGGCAGAAGAAGAAGTATGTCAACAGTTTATTCGGTGTATGTTCACTGTTTGTCCAATGTATGTCCACAATTAGTCGGGTGTATGTCCTATGTATGTTCTGTGTTTGATTTATTTTGTACCTCTCTTATTTATAGAGCATTGAAACACATTGAAACAATCAGCTGCAAGCCTTATTTTATTTGGCTTACAAACAGCACCGCAGAATGATGATGATGTCTGCATTAAGTTGATCTATATATAACTATTGTGGCCATATTTAAATGGATGATACAGCATATCAAATAAATTCTTTTGTGTTGATTAGCACTCCTAGATGCACAGCTAAGAGGTAGAAGTAAGATGCACACTAGACAACATAAAGATAAATAGCTATAAATATCTGTCAGGGAATTAAACCTGTTAAAATGTGTCTCTTCTTCATTTTGTCTTTAAATGCTTTGAGTTTTGAGGGAGCTCTTCTGGCTGCCTCAGCCATAGACAAATCATGCTGTTGTAGCATTTTTCCGATGTTATCTTTCCCTCTTGTTCTTGGTCTGCCTTCTGCTCTGCATCCTTCACCTCTTTTAATGTATGCGCTATATAGTAGGGCATTACAAGACTTTCTCTCTGAGTGGGCAGACCATTTGATTTGCTTCTTTGTATATAATTTAGAACTGGTTTTGCGCCCAGTTTTTTTCTTGTATGCCCTCGTTCATGATTTTATCTCTTCTGGTCAGTCCTGCAGCCCATCTCAGATATCCCACTTCCATAGTCACTAATTTTCTTTTCAGATTTACTTTGAGTGACCATGCTTTGGGAGCAAGCGAACAATGCAGAAGCATGAATAGATAGATCCTTGTGGTTACAAGGACATGATGCAGCAGGGAGTGACTAGAGGATCTGTCAGACTCTTCATTGAGGGTAAAGTTGACAACTGTATGTGACAGAACGATCTGTTCTTTTGGGAGCAAGTGAACAATGCAGAAGCACAAATAGATCCTTATTGTCACAAGGAAATGATGCATCAGGGAGTGACTAGAAGATCTGTCAGACTTCTCATTGAGGGTAAAGTTGATGGACATATAATCAAACTGCTGCTGGTACCATTAGCATTGGAACTCTTTGCTGGCTGCTCAAGATGAGGACAGAGTGCCTATAGGAATGCCCCAAGTGCTGTGATTACTTTTGTACTAGCTTTTATTATAATTTTCAGTAAATGCCTATTTTCAGGCAGATCCCGGCTGGAGCCTGTGGCGATCATCATCCTGTCAGTGGTTATGTCCCTGGCATCTTTAGAGGTTGTCATGTCAGCAATTCGTAGAATTATCGACTTTACCAGTGACCTTGACGGCATTGCTGTGTTTGAGTTACCAACTATCCTCATTGCACTGAGCACAGTTGGTGAGTTTAGACAAATATGCTTCAGCTGGTCATGTATTGTTTTTCTTCTTCTTCTCCTCCTCATCCTTCTTTATCATCATCTTCCCCAGCTGGAGCCTCCTCCTCCTCCTACTCTCCCGTTTCCTTTCATCATCATCATCACATTAAAATGGTGTCATTGGTCATGATCAAGTGCCTGACTGACCAGCAGGGCAATCATACCTGTCCACAGTCTGCGATCTTCAACAGCATTTATCAGTTCATTTGCTGACACCCCTCCATGTCATGACAAAAAGCTGTCAAGAATATTCTCATGTTGTCCTTTTTTTTTTCACAGATCTTTTCAGTGGTCACAACAGTTCCGGTTTCCTTCTTCTTATATAGTAACCAAAAAATGATGAATGTCTCTTTCTGATAATTGCGATAAGGTGTCTTTAAGCCCTCACCTCTTTAAAAAAAAACACATCTGGGTTGCTCTTTTTGGCTGTCTAAGGAATTCTAAGGATTTTTCTGTAAAATCACATCTCTCAGGCCTCAAGAATATACCCTCAATCACCTTATGCCAAGTCATTGTATCCTTTGTCATCATAGCCAGCCAGCTATTTTAACCCCATTTTCTAATTCTCTTCTCCATGAGTAATTTGACCTAACATTATTCCTTTGACCTTGTTGGTTCCACTGCATTCTAGTTATATTATCAGGCTTTCTTAGCATGTGTCCTGTCCAGTGCCAGTATCTTATCTTCATATTAGGGATTCTATCACAGCTTCTAATTATATCTGTTTTGGAGGCACCAGTTAATGAATGTTTGTAATTATTGCTAATTATTTTAGTCATTATTCAAGTTTTAGCTTCATGCGTCGCTGCTGATTTGACATTATAGTATATACTCAAAGTTCAGTAAACTCCTTGAAGGGTAAAAAAATGATATTCTAATATGCTGTATAGAATCAGGTTTAATATATTCATGTTAACCTTGGACAGTTAGCAGATAAATCAGTGAATTCCTTAAGGCTTTGGAGATATGGTTTTACAGATTAGTCAATCAGATGCCATCTCCACACTGAAGGTTGGCTGCAATAGATCTCCAGCATACTCTGTCTCTTGTTTTGTTGTACACTCTCGGTATGCTGTGCGTCCATCTTTTGATGAGGTCCTTCCACTTGTATCCTTGTCTACCTCTAGATCTCTTGTCCTCAACCTTTCCCTCCAATATGGAGGAATGCAGAAATGAGTCATACACATGTTTTTAAAGACACGGTTTTACAGAAAACAAAAAGACTTACAATTCTTTGGAAAGCAGAAATGAGTCATCCACTTGTTTTTAAAGGCATGGTTTTACAGAAAACAAAAACGCTTACAATTCTTTGGAAAGCAAATATGACTCTTCCACATGTTTTTAAAGACATGGTTTTACAGAAAACAAAAAGGCTTACAATTCTTTGGAAAGCAGAAATGAGTAATCCACATGTTTTTAAAGACATGGTTTTACAGAAAACAAAAAAGGTTTACAATTCCCTGGAGAACAGAAACGAGCAATCTCTGTGTTTTGAAAGACATGGTTTAACAGACACCACAGAGAACAAAAATGATAAAATAATACAAATATTTTTAAAGACACTATGATTAAAACACAACTTATCACAAACAATTTGTCACAAACATCAGAAGGTGGCAGCCATTAACCAATGGCCACGTTACAGGAAGAGCAAAACTGGAGCATGTTGTGACAAGTGAAAACAGAGTTAGAGGAAGACAACATGAGAAGATTCTTAATAGCCTTTTGTCAAAGTATGGAAGGGCGTCAGATCATGAATTAAGCCATATTGTGGGAGATCACAAGATGTCTTCTTCTTTAGCTTTTCTTCTTCCCATTCACTGGCTATAAATTCCAGTGGAAAGTTCTAATTGTTCATCCACTTCTGTATTTTAGTCTTGTTCCAGAACCTGAGTTTTGTATGCACATCCATTTTACAGATCTGGCTTATTTATATGCAGACTGTTGGTTCCTTGCCTCTCAGAAAGATACACACTGGCTTCAGGGAAACTTCCCCCTAATAAGTCGAATATTATATGCTTGTTAGAATTCATTTTTTTAAAAACATTTTTGGTACTACAAACGTTAATCTCCCCATTTACACAGTGTTACACGCCAGCTCACTTTTGATTGGTCAACCTTCAGCCTAGCTCACTTCTGATTGGTTGACCTTGAACCATGCTACCTTGCCACAAGGTTATGGAGCTTCCCGCAATGCCGTTGATATCGCGTGTTGAATATTTCAGCATGACAGTGCTTTTAACACTCCAAAAACATCGACAAACTTTGTCTAACACAAAACCCCTTTAGAGAGTGATAAAACCTATGTCACAGGTATTCTCTTTCTTGGAATAAAAACATAAATGCAAGACAACCCAGAAAGCAAACAACAGACCGGCGCACCCGTAACTTGCAGGAAGGTAGACCAGCCCAAAAAACCTTTAAATGGAACATGACCTGCTTTGTTTGGAGAGACTAACGTTTGTATAACCTAATTTTCTTTTTCAATTTCCCTACAATAGGACCCAGTAACACACATATGGGGGCAGGGGGATCACAAGATGCAAAGAATCATGACCGCCCATGCCAGTCTGCAAGAGGCTTGGTAGTGATCTGTACTAATCTTGTTTCTTTTCCTTCTTCTTCACACACAGTGGCGAAGTTTACCCTGGCTGTAACCTTTTACCTGTTAATGAAGAAGCGAAAATTGCAACTACCACCTGTTGATGCCCTCATACAAGACCATCGTAATGATACCCTGTCAAATACAATTGCCATCATATGTGGATATTTAGGTTGGTTTATTTCATCATCGGAGGAATGGCTGGCTGAATGATTAGAGAAATGGGCTGTCATGCCGGTGACCTGGGTTTGACTCTTAGCTAAGGTCGGGGAGGTTTTTCTGTCTGGAGCAGAATAAAACATCTTAATCTGGGCAGTCCATGGTGAGTATACTAGCCATGTGGCTATAACAGACCCTTTGTCTATAGACACTGTGCCGTGCCCTCATTGTCCTAGACTCTTCCGGGCAGGTATTGGACTTATAAGTCACTGCCGAACTCACAATTATTCACCTGCAGTTTCATGACGGATGAAAGAAAGAGTCGTCCTCATCACTTGTGATGGAAGAACGAACGAATGAACGAGCCATGTGACCTTTGATCCTCAGGCTCAGACCCTTCTGTTCTTGACTACCCTTAAAAAAGTTAAACACGGGTAGTCCAAACAGTTTTTTAAAAAAAATTGTTTTAAATTTAATTATCATCATCGTGTGCCTTGCCAGATGTTGTAGGCTTTTTTCTTCAAAGAGTTTTTTTTTTTTTTAATTGCTATCTCCACAATTAGGCTTTCCTGCAATGGATGTCTGCACCCCCAGCAGTCTTTTAAGAATTTTGTTTGAAAGAAATGAAAGCAGATTTTTTTTTTTAATAGTTTAAAAAAACTACTTGCTATATAAATTGGTATGTCAGTATTGTAAAATGTAACTGACACTCCACATAGGTCGTGACTGTAACTAACTTATAACAAAAATGTTGAGAAAGGTGGAGACAGGTATGCACTGTGCAGAGTGACAAGCATCATTTCAGAAGTCCCAGATAATTAGTATTCTTCGGATATTTTGTCCAGGTCATCAGAAACAAACAGGTTGGTCCTGCATCACTTGGTGGTGAATCGATGCAAGACAAGCTAGATCTTATGTGTCCTTTAGGAGCAAGTGAACAGTGCTAAGGACAAATAGGTCATCACGGTCTGAAGAAAATTGTGCAAAAAGGAAGAGAAGGAGGGGGTGGGGGAGGAGGGTGGAGAGACATACAATCAGACTGTCACTGGTACCATCAGAATTAGAGCTGTGCGCCTGCTGCTAAAGATGGAGATGGAGCACTTTTGGGATTGTCTCAAGTGCTGTCAGGTTGGTGTTTAACTTATAACTCATAAGCCACACCTTAGTCGCCTCTTACAACACGCAAAGTAGCTGACAGTATTACTATTCTTGCATTCTCTGTTTGCCCCCTACTAGGACAGAGACAGGGAATCCTATACAGCAGTGTCTCCCAAACCTTTGTTAGTCGCTGCGCCTTTTTTCAATTAAAACTTTTCCACGGTGCCCCAACCTAAGTAAAAGTATGACTATTCATATGTAAGAGATTTAAAAAAAATAAAACTTGTGTATCCTCGTGTATTCTCGCACAGTTTGGGAATTACTGTTATACAGTATGATTTGTGTACAACCAGCGTGCTACTAGAACAATCAGCATCTACACCAGGGCTATTCACATAAGTTTGTTCAGGGACCAAGACTTTGAAAATGGGAATCGTCACAGGCCAGAAGCCTGAACCCCAGCATAACAAGGTAATTAATGCAATACAACTGGCAATGATCTGAAGCAGTAACATGGCTTGAGACACAGACTTTCAATGGGGCATGCTTTCTCAGTGACTCGATGAGTATGCTCAGGAACATAGAGAAGGGCTGGGTCCTAAGGCAGTGGTTGGTGGCTGACAAGGATTAGTTTCATTTTCGTGCCAGGTCATGTGGGGGTACAAGGAAATGAGCAAGCTGATAGACTTGTAGGTGAGGTTACTGTGAAAGCCGGACAAGCCATGGACCAGGCTGATATACTTAATGCGCTAAGAGAGTTCAGATGTTTGCGGGAATCAACTGAGAACTGTGAATCTGCAACCATGGTAAGACTGCAGGAACAACATGTTAAACGGGGTGTCGCCAAACAAGAACACTACGGGGGTAGCCAAAGAAGAATAATAAATCAACACAGAACTGGTGACGTTAGCTGCTGCACGCTGCAGGATTTACTTAGGAGGGGATTTGTACGCTTATTGACTGAGTGGTTCGAGGTGCAATGAGGATAATCTGTTGACTAACTAACTAACAACTGGCAATGACCTGAGGGTTATTTGCTAGACCTTCATGTGCCGAGGGACCACCAGTTGAATGACGCTAGTCTACACCATAACCCAGTCGCTGCCTAAAGACATCATGCCATCAACAAATCTGGCATTCACGGGGGCAACAGGGTTAAATTTGTAGATCAGTAAAGCTTTTTCAGACAGTTCTGAGCTGTCTTAAATTGAATTTATGATTTGCTAGGGTCCCAGCAGTTCGCTGACAGAGTCCACACAAGAAAAGTTGCCTACATCGATCCTATTGGTGCAATTATTATCGGCTTCTACATCATTATCAGCTGGTATAAAACTGGTTATGGTAAGTTGAAAATACACACATTTGTACACATGCACGTACACCCGCCCGCCCACCCATCCCCTACTATGAGTTTCTTTCTCTTGGAATACCTGCATGGATGGTGGGGGGGGGGGGGAGGGTTATTCACTGCTAGTTAATAGAATAAGCATCAATTCGTTACTCATATAGAACTAGGTGGGGGTTGCGTAGTCTCAAGGCACGGCATCCACCTCAAGTGCTGGAGTCCCGGGTTTATGCCCCCAGTAAAGGCTGGGATTTTTTCACGTGGACTTCTAGTAATTTCCCCTGGTCTCTGGGTAGTAAGATCGGACTCCTGTGTGTATTCTTGCGCACATAAAAAATACCCTTGGCAGTTGGAAATAAAAAAGAGTGGCCTAACGGCGCTGCCCGGGCAAAATTTGGAGTTTAAAATCTACCCAAAGTATTTCAAGATCCTCATTGGTGCTACGGAGTTCGTGCACTGCGCTGAGATTCTTCTGACTCAGACTTAAGAACAATGGAGCACTTGTGGATTACTATCCGTGTGCCATGATGTTGATCCGTTGTTCATCACACATCACAGAACTGTAGGTAACATCAGGGTGGTTTGGTTGATACAACAGATTTACTGATTATAACTTCTTTGGTAGTTTAACAGGGTATGTGGGATTTGCTTTAAAGGTTGCCATCCAGACTTAGATTTTATAATCTCAGGGTTGTCGGAGGTGAGAAAAATGGACAAACAGCAGGGACCCACTGCCCCTCAACTCTTTCAGTACCAGAAGGTTTGGCAGGAGGTGCTCAAGGAGGCATGGGAAATAACTATTGTAAAGCGATGAGTGGGTCTCTGACAGAGACTAACTGTGTAGAGGAGGAAGTGGCCAGATGTTTTCATATGCTGTAATCAGACATGAACAAATGCAGTGGTTGAGATTCATCTAGGTATGTGATAAGAAGCCTCACACACCATGTGTTACTTAGGACTGAGATAGTTAACAAGCATGTTGTAAAAGGCGGCTAATTAAGGTTTGCTAGAATAAGATGTGTTGGGCTGAAAGGTCTAGATATTGTAGTCTAGCTGTAAACAACAACATAATGTGCCATCACCCTTTTTAATGGCAAACACAGCAAGATGAAGGTAAGGTTTCTGTTTAAATCACCATTAATTACTGGTGTCATGAGAGTTAATAGTCAGAAATGGCTGGGACATACTGAGAGAATGTCAGATGACAGAGAAGTAAAAACTGTATACACAAGGGAGCTGAATGGTCGTAGACCACGAGGTAGACTGAGAAGACGATGGAGAGATAATATCCAGACAGACTTACAAACACTTGGTGTTACGAACTGGAAAGAGAAAGCCAACCAGAGTAATGAGTGGAGGCGGGTGATATCTCCAGCAGTAAACCTCAAGGGCTCTGAATGCCGAAGAAGAAGATTATGTGATGAGTGACAAAGATAATATATTTTAATTAATATGAAATGTGTAAACAGATACTTGAAAATAACGCAAATTTTAGTGGGAGGGGAGCTCTGTGCTCCCCCCCCCCCCCCCCCAAAAAAAAAAAAAAAATTTGGCAGAAAAAGTGTGTATGGGGGGTTAAGCCCCCTATTCCTGTGCTCCTGTTCTGTTGTGGTGCATTTTAGGTAACACAGGATTTAGATATAGTTTTCAACTAGCTATAACCACGCCTCGGTAAAACCTTACTGGCTTTGGTACTGCCACGCTACCTCATCCTGCAAAAAACAATAGCCACAAAAACCAAACCACCATGAAAAAAGTCAAAAAGAGAAACAAGAAAATCAAGTTAACCAAGATGAGGGTAAGCTCTTCTAATAAGAGAAAGAGGATACAGTGCGGAGAAAGCCGAAAGGATTTCAGATCCTCGACGTACCTCCTTTCACCTAGGAAAGTCTCCAGAATTTGCATCTGGAATTAGTGAAGTTGAAAAGATAAGGAAGACATGGGGTGAGCTGCGTGCAGTTGAGAAGAATAGAACAACTTGATGTGAGCTGGTTGAAGGCCTATGCTCCATTGGGGGATAGAAGACAGAAGAAGAAGATACAAATATGTAAAAATAGTATCTGTTTTTCTTACAACTAGATGTAACAGCCTTTGCTTGATTGTTTACTGAATGTAAATGATTGTTTACTAAATGTAAATAATTGTTTACTGAATGTAAATGATTGTTTACTGAATGTAAAAGGCTGTTTACTGAATGTAAATGATTGTTTACTTAATGTAAATGATTGTTTAATGAATGTAAATGATTGCTTACTGAATGTAAATGGCTGTTTACTTAATGTAATTGGTTGTTTACTGAATGCAAGTGATTGTTTACTAAATATAAATGATTGTTTATTGAATGTAAAGGGTTGTTTACTTAATGTAAATGGTTGTTTACTGAATATAAATGATTGTTTACTGAATGTAAATGTTGTTTACTGAACGTAAATGATTGTTTATTGAATGTAAATAATTGTTTACTGAATGTAAATGATTGTTTACTGAATGTAAAAGGCTGTTTACTGAATGTAAATGGTTGTTTACTGAATGTAAATGGTTGTTTACTGAATGTAAATGATTGTTTACTGAATGTAAAAGGCTGTTTACTGAATGTAAAAGGCTGTTTACTGAATGTAAATGGTTGTTTACTGAATGTAAATGATTTCTTACTGAATGTAAATGATTGTTTTAGTTTAGTTTAGTTTTTAGTTTTTCCTTCCACGTATGCCGCTAAGCGTTGTGGGGAGATGCAAGTTCCTGTCATAAGCAAGGCGGGCAGCATCTGATGTTCTGAGGCCATGCTTTTGGCAGGTTTCGGAGACCCCGTCAATCCACCGTTTCCTTGGTCTTCCTCTTGCCTTATATCCTGAGCTTCTTTGGTTGAAAATTTGTGATGTTATTTGATCATTTTTCATCCTGGTTAGATGTCCAAACCATTTCATTCTTTGATGTTCTATGTAGTCTAAACATGGCGTAGTTTTGACAGTGTTTCTAATGTCTATATTCTTTATCCTGTCTAGTCTGGTCTTGTTCGCTGCTTTTCTTAGACATTTCATTTCACAGGCTTCTATTTTTCTTTCATGGGTCTTGTTGATTGTCCATGTTTGGCACTGGTAGCAGAGTGTTGGAATGAAGATGGTGTTTATCAATTGTCTTTTGGTCTTCATGGTTATATCTGGATGTTTTAAGCAGAGGTGATAGTTGGTATGTGACAGCATTTGCTTTCTGTATTTCTTGTTTCTATCTCTCTGTCCGTTCTTCCATCCTCTGTAAATATACTGCCCAAGTATTTGAACTCTTTGGTTTGCTTGATTTTGGCACTTCCAACATTTATATTCAGTGGCCTGTGTGTTCTGCTGATCTTCATAACTTCTGTTTTTTCTGTACTGATTCTCATATTATGTTGTAAACAGCTGTTGTTGAGAGTAGTCAGATGTTCCTGTAGATCATATTCATTTTGATACAGTATGCTTTGATCATCAGCAAAAAGTAATTCGTTTATAGCATACACGTCTGGGTTTGCTTCTACAGTGATCTTATCCATGTATGTTATGAAAAGTAATGGTGACAGTACACATCCTTGTCTGACACCAGTTGTGACTTTGAACCATTCAGAAAGACCACTAGATGTTCTTACTGCACTTTCACTTTTTTCATAGAGGGCTCTGATGTTGTCTAATAATTGACCCTGCACTCCGTAATCGTCAAGAATTCTCCACAGCACATCTCTGTCTACACGGTCGAATGCCTTCTCTTGATCTACAAAGACCACGATCAGCTCTTTAATGATTGTTTACTGAATGTAAATGATTGTTTATTAAATATATACACAGAACATATCCAGCATGTGACAGGTTACACCGCTGACCCAGCATTTTTGAGCGAGATCACTTGGATATCTCTCAACCACAGGTGAGTCTTTTACTGGCTGTATTGTTTCCTTTGATGTCTGTGTTGTGTTTTTTCTAATGTCTAAGTTGTGTTTCTTTTAATGTCTGTGTTGAGTTTCTTTTCACATCTGTGTTGTGTTTATTCCAGTGTCTGTACTGTGTTTCTTTTAATGTCTATGCTGTGCTTATTCTAAAGTCGTGTAGTGTTTCTGCTAATGTCTGTGCGGTGTTTCTTCTAGTCTCTGTGTTGCATTTCATCTAATGTCAGTTTCTTCTAATGTCTGTGTTGTGTTTCTTCTAATGCCTGTGTTGTGATTCCTCTAATGTCTGTGCTGTGTTTTCTCTAATGTCTGTGCTGTGTTTCCTCTTATGTCTGTGCTGTGTTTCCTCTAATGTCTGTGCTGTGTTTCTTCTAATGTGTGTGCTGTGTTTCCTCTAATGTCTGTACTGTGTTTCTTTTAATGTCTATGCTGTGCTTATTCTAAAGTCGTGTAGTGTTTCTGCTAATGTCTGTGCGGTGTTTCTTCTAGTCTCTGTGTTGCATTTCATCTAATGTCAGTTTTCTTCTAATGTCTGTGTTGTGTTTCTTCTAATGTCTGTGTTGTGATTCCTCTAATGTCTGTGCTGTGTTTCCTATAATGTCTGTGCTGTGTTTCCTCTAATGTCTGTGCTGTGTTTCCTCTAATGTCTGTGCTGTGTTTCTTCTAATGTCTGTGCTGTGTTTCCTCTAATGTCTGTACTGTGTTTCTTTTAATGTCTATGCTGTGCTTATTCTAAAGTCGAGTAGTGTTTCTGCTAATGTCTGTGCGGTGTTTCTTCTAGTCTCTGTGTTGCATTTCATCTAATGTCAGTTTCTTCTAATGTCTGTGTTGTGTTTCTTCTAATGCCTGTGTTGTGATTCCTCTAATGTCTGTGCTGTGTTTTCTCTAATGTCTGTGCTGTGTTTCCTCTTATGTCTGTGCTGTGTTTCCTCTAATGTCTGTGCTGTGTTTCTTCTAATGTGTGTGCTGTGTTTCCTCTAATGTCTGTACTGTGTTTCTTTTAATGTCTATGCTGTGCTTATTCTAAAGTCGTGTAGTGTTTCTGCTAATGTCTGTGCGGTGTTTCTTCTAGTCTCTGTGTTGCATTTCATCTAATGTCAGTTTCTTCTAATGTCTGTGTTGTGTTTCTTCTAATGTCTGTGTTGTGATTCCTCTAATGTCTGTGCTGTGTTTCCTATAATGTCTGTGCTGTGTTTCCTCTAATGTCTGTGCTGTGTTTCCTCTAATGTCTGTGCTGTGTTTCTTCTAATGTCTGTGCTGTGTTTCCTCTAATGTCTGTACTGTGTTTCTTTTAATGTCTATGCTGTGCTTATTCTAAAGTCGAGTAGTGTTTCTGCTAATGTCTGTGCGGTGTTTCTTCTAGTCTCTGTGTTGCATTTCATCTAATGTCAGTTTCTTCTAATGTCTGTGTTGTGTTTCTTCTAATGTCTGTGTTGTGATTCCTCTAATGTCTGTGCTGTGTTTCCTCTAATGTCTGTGCTGTGTTTCCTCTAATGGCTGTGCTGTGTTTCTTCTAATGTCTGTGCTGTGTTTCTTTTAATGTCTGTGCTGTGTTTCCTCTAATGTCTGTGCTGTGTTTCCTCTAATGTCTGTGCTGTGTTTTTTCTAATGTCTGTGCTGTGTTTTTTCTAATGTCTGTGCTGTGTTTCTCCTAATGTCTGTGCTGTGTTTCCTCTAATGTCTGTGCTGTGTTTCCTCTAATGTCTGTGCTGTATTTCCTCTAATGGCTGTGCTGTGTTTCTTCTAATGTCTGTGCTGTGTTTCTTTTAATGTCTGTGCTGTGTTTCTTCTAATGTCTGTGCTGTGTTTCCTCTAATGTCTGTGCTGTGTTTTTTTTAATGTCTGTGCTGTGTTTCTCCAAATGGCTGTGCTGTGTTTCTTCTAATGACTGTGCTGTGTTTCTTCTAATGTCTGTGCTGTGATTCCTCTAATGTCTGTGCTGTGTTTCTTCTAATGTCTGTGTTGTTTCTTCTAATGTCTGTGCTGTTTCTTCTAATGTCTGTGCTGTGTTTCTTCTTATGTCTGTGCTGTTTTTCCTCTAATGTCTGTGCTGTGTTTCTTCTAATGTATGTGCTGTGTTTCTTCTAATGTCTGTGATGTGTTTCTTCTAATGTCTGTGCTGTGTTTCCTCTAATGTCTGTGCTGTGTTTCTTCTTATGTCTGTGCTGATTTTCCTCTAATGTCTGTGCTGTGTTTCTTCTAATGTATGTGCTGTGTTTCTTCTAATGTCTGTGATGTGTTTCTTCTAATGTCTGTGCTGTGTTTCCTCTAATGTCTGTGCTGTGTTTCCTCTAATGTCTGTGCTGTGTTTCTTCTTATGTCTGTGCTGTTTTTCCTCTAATGTCTGTGCTGTGTTTCTTCTAATGTATGTGCTGTGTTTCTTCTAATGTCTGTGATGTGTTTCTTCTAATGTCTGTGCTGTGTTTCCTCTAATGTCTGTGCTGTGTTTCTTTTAAAGTTTGTACTGTTTCTTCTAGTCTGAGCTGTGTTTATTTTGATGTCCATGCTGTGTTTCTTCTAATGTCTGTCCTGTGTCTTTATTCTAATGTCAATGCTCTGTGTCTTCTAATGTCTGTGTTGTATTTCTTCTAATGTCTGTGCTATGTTTCTTCTCATGTCTGTACTGTGTTTCTTTTAATGTCTGTGTTGTGTTTATTCTAATGTATGTGTTGTTTATTCTAATATAATGTCTGTGTTGTGTTTATTCTAATGTATGTGTTGTTTATTCTAATGTCTGTGTTGTGTTTATTCTAATGTCTGTGTTGTTTCCTTGTTTGTCTGTGTTTTGTTTCTTTTTATGTTTCTTTTTTTAGTCTGTGGATATCATTAATGGTTGAAATGTTATAATGGGCAGATGGATGCAGGAATGATTGACAGAAAGATGAGTGAATCAATGTTTAGATAAATAGAAGTAATAACTGATAGATCAGATAGGTGTGTGAATGGATAAATTATGAGTAGACAGTCAAACAGAGGGATGATTCTTTCATATAAAACATGCATTAAAAAATATATAGGTAGGAATGAATAGATGGACAGATGAATAGATTAGATGGGTGGGAAGATAAGAAGGCTTGGGTGGGTATGTAGGTATAAGTAGTTACTGGGTGATTAGGTAGCTAGGCATCTTGAGTAAGTGTGTGTATGGGTTTGATTAGGTGGGCGGGTGAGTAGGTAGGTAGGTAGGTAGGCAGACAGGTGGATAGACAGGCAGCAGATACGTGTAGATAAGTGAACACATAATCACATTACACTAGATTGAACGAATAAATCATAATCATCATCATCAGGTGCCTTGCCGAATGGCGTATGCGATTATGCCTCTCCATAATCTGCGATCTCCTGCAGCATGTATCAGTTCGTGTACTGACACACCTCCATGCCATGCAACAAGACTGTCAAGCATCTTCTCTCGTTGTCTTCCTCTATCCCTCCTTCCACAGATCTTTCCAGTGGTCACAACATGTTCTATTTTCCCTCTTCTCATAACATGGCCGAAAAATGATGACTGTCTCCTTCTGATGTCTGTGATAAGTTGTCTTCGGGCTCCCTTCAAAACCTCTTGGTTGCTCATTTTGGCTGTCCAAGGTATTCTAAGCATTCTTCTGTAAAACCACATCTCTGAGGCCTCTAGAAATTGTTTGGCCTGCCTACCGATTGTCCAAGATTCACAGCCATATGTTAAAACTGGATGTATGTAGCAAGCAAGAATTCTTTTTCTAACTCTCAATGACAAGGATAAATTGCACAAGATGTTTTTTCATTTTGTAAAATGGAACGAATAAATAGACAAAACATAGACACATAGTATATTACTTGCCTTTCTCTATTTTCTTTGCTTCTGTGTTTTATGAGTCTGCTTAACTGGTTTGTGTGTGTGTGTGTGTGCATGATCATGTTCCTGGCTCAACATATCACATCCGCAGCCCCAAGATTCTGTGTCTGGACACAGTCAGAGCTGTCCACTTCGGCTCCCAATACCTGGTGGAGGTAGATATAGTCCTGCGAGAGGAAACCATTCTCACAGAATCCCATGATATTGGTGAAAGTTTACAGGTAAGAAATCTTGACATTTATTTCTTTATCCAAATACAAAATTTTGACATTTCTCCTTAAACAGATTATAAATATTGACATTTCTTCTCTATATGGATGAGGAATCAGAACATTTCTTCTCTATACGGGTGAGGAATCAGGACATTTCCTCTCTATACGGGTGAGGAATCAGGACATTTCCTCTCTATATGGATGAGGAATCAGGACATTTCCTCTCTATACGGGTGAGGAATCAGGACATTACCTCTCTATATGGGTGAGGAATCAGGACATTACCTCTCTATACGGGTGAGGAATCAGGACATTACCTCTCTATACGGGTGAGGAATCAGGACATTTCCTCTCTATACTGGTGAGGAATCAGGACATTTCCTCTCTATATGGGTGAGGAATCAGGACATTTCCTCTCTATACGGGTGAGGAATCAGGACATTTCCTCTCTATATAGGTGGGGAATCAGGACATTTCTTCTCCAAATGGGTGAGGAATCAGGACATTTCCCCTCTATACGGGTGAGGAATCAGGACATTTCCTCTCTATACGGGTGAGGAATCAGGACATTTCCTCTCTATATGGGTGGGAATCAGGACATTTCCTCTCTGTATGGGTGAGGAATCAGGACATTTCCTCTCTATATGGGTGAGGAATCAGGACATTTCCTATCTATATGGGTGAGGAATCAGGACATTTCCTCTCTATATGGGTGAGGAATCAGGACATTTCCTCTCTATATGGGTGAGGAATTAGGACATTTCTTCTCTATACAAGTGAGGAATCAGGACATTTCCTCTCTATATGGGTGGGAATCAGGACATTTCCTCTCTATATGGGTGAGGAATCAGGACATTTCTTCTCTATACAATGAGGAATCAGGACATTTCTTCTCTATACAATGAGGAATCAGGACATTTCTTCCCCATACAAGTGAGGTATCAGGACATTACCTCTCTATACGGGTGAGGAATCAGGACATTTCTTCTCCATATGGGAGAGAAATCAGGACACTTCTCCATACAGGTGAGGAGTCAGGACATTTCTTTTCCAAATGGGTGAGGAATCAGGACATTTCTGCCTCTTTTCTTTCTTCTTTTATTACTTAACTGTTTCAATAACAAGTTCCCTGTGTGGTTCTAGGGTCACATTGGTGGGGGGGGGGGGGGGGAATAGAACCACTACCCTGTTAACAGGTGTGATGTAAAAATACACTAATTAGGGTGTTTTCTTTGAAGTCAGAGTGTATCTGCCAGAGAGGTAAGGAACAATCTATCTGCATATGAATGAGCCAGATCTGTAGCAAAACACAATTCGGAAACAAGACCAAGGTCCAGAAGTGGACAAAAAACCAGAATGTTCCACAGGAGTTTACAGTTCGTGATCTCTGAGAAAAAGAATACCAAACAACTTATCATACGTTTGTTAGTTTTTACTTACATTATATATTTTGTTGTTTAGCTTTAATGAAGGAAACCTGAGAGACACAACAGGAGAAATAATCACATTGGAAAGAGGGAAGGTTGACAGATGGCAAAAATATTTTACCAAGCTACTGAATAGGCCAGCATCAGATATCCCAGTGGAAATGGTAGAAAACTGTGACAACTACTAGAAATTAATATGGTGCCAATAGCGTTAAACAGAAACAGCAATAAGCAGTATTAAGAATGGGAAGGCACAAGGTAAAGACCGAATTAGTGCTGACATGTCAAAGGCAGATCCACAATTTACAGCTAAAGCAATACATACAATATTCAACAAAATATGGATAAATGAAGTGGTCCCAGCAGACTCGAAAACTAGTGTAATCATCCCACAACCGAAGAAAGGTGATATCTCACATTGCAACAACCGGAGAGGCATAACATTATTGTCTGTATCTGGAAAGACACTCTGTAGAGTGTTATACAACAGAATGAATAGTTCTGTCAGAAGATCAGGCAGGATTCAGGAAAAGAAGAAACAACTGTAATCATATATTTACTCTCAGAAGTATTGTGGAACAAGCTTTAGAATGGAATGTCACATTATGCAAAAACTTTTAGACTTTAAAAAGGCCTTTGACAGTCTAGATAGAACAATGATGTGGAGGATCCTTGCTGTGTATGTGTTACCAGATAAAGTTATAAACATATTTAATGGACTCTATTAAGGATATCAATACAAAGTGAAAGTAGGACTCATGGAAGAAGAATACTTCAGGGTAACATCAGGAGTCCGACAAGTAGATGCAAAATGGAAGAAATAATGACTTATTTAAAAAATATAAAAAATGCATTACTTGCAAAGTGGCAATATACACAGAGGTAGTCACCATTGGGGAAGCTAGGTTTTCTGAGTATCTTCTACCAAAATGTAAAATGTTATAGAATAAATCAAGGGAAAGATTTACTCATATGCGTTGGACAGAAGGAGTTACAGTAATGCAATTATAGGATAGAATGTGTTTAATAATATTTGCCTGGTTATGAAAGAGTTAACTTCTGGTCTTCACCTCTCCATAATCTTCCTCTGCCACAGTACAGTATTGTTGTTCACATCCAAGACGTTTTTGAAAACACATGGCTTTAAAAAATGTATATTCTTCAGCATTTCATCTCTCAATGGGGTATTAGCCTTCATTCAACTCATATCACACACTTTGTAAACCTGTTCAAAATGGGTTGGATTTTTGCAGCTGATACATTTCTATGGAAAGAGATAGCCAATCGCAAGCCAGCCCTCCTAAGATACCTATATTTAATTCTGTCAAACCGTTACTGCTGCGTGGAGCAGAAAACAAAGAATAACTAAAACAGTTAATCCATTTTACAGATCAGCTTATTTTATGCAGATTGTTGGTTTCTCGCCTCTAAGGCAGACCACTCTGACTTGGAAGGAAACACCCTTAGTTAACTGACTTTTACAAGATACTTGTTAGGGACCAGTGGGTCTATTTCGCCCCCCCCCCCCCTCCTCAACCCTCCAGTGGGGCCCCAAAACCCACATTGGAGAGGGAGGTATAAGGTTCTTGCTCTTCTGGCTGCCTCATTGATGGACACCATATTGTTGTAGAGTTTTTGTGATGTTATCTTTCCTCTTGATTTTGGCCTACCTCGTACTCTACGTCCCTCTCCTGTTTTGGTATATGCCCTGTATGGTATGGTATCACAAAGCATCCTCTCTAAGTGGGCAAACCATGTTATTTGCTGTCTTTGTTTGTAATTTAGAACTGGCACTGTGCAAGCTTCTCCTCTTATGACTTTATTTTATCACTTCTGGTCTTTCCTGCAGCTTTTGTCCAGACATAGGATTTTTGTGGTTACTAATTTTCTTTTCTGAACTGTTGAGATGTTTGGCACTGATGGTATAGGGTGGGGATGAAAACACATTGTAGGAGATGTTTCTTTGTGCCGTCTGGGGCTGTCTTATGCAGTAATACATTAACTGGTGCCTGCACATAATATAGAGGAATAAAAAGCAATGCAGAATCAATAAAGTGCAATTCTGGGAGAGAAATAAACATATTCCAGTGAATCAGGAGGTGAGGAAAAGACCCAGGCGTTGAATAGGACTCACTGTAAGTAATCCTGATAATTTTATAACTAGGATGTCTTTATACAGGAACCCTCAGGGTTAGCAAAATAAAGGAAGACAAACATTATACAGAGAAGATAGAAATGTCTCGTTAAAGCAGGGAGGGCTTGACGTCACATAAGTACCTAAGGATAGAACGACTTGGCGTAAGATTGTTGAAGGATTATACTTCACCAGGAAATAAGCGATTGAAGAAGAAAAGAAGAAGAGGAAGAGAAAGAAGAAGAAGAAGAAGACCAAGAAGAAAAAGAAGGAGGGGGAGCAGTAGAAGAAGAAGGAAAAAAAGAAAAGAAGCAGGAGTAGCACAAGCGGAAGACAGATTTTACTTCTACTTCAGGCTTACCGGCTGTAAACTCAGGTGGAAAGTTCTGGTTGTTTTACCACCTCTAGACCTCATTCTTATTCCAGAACCTCAGTGTTACATGCACATCCGTTTAACAGATCTGACTTAACTATATGCAAATTGTTGGTTCCTTGCCTCTTAGGCAGATGCACTCCGACTTCAAAGGAAGCCCCCATCACGCTTGTTGGGGAGGCAGTTGGTCTGTTCTTGTTTTCCCCCATAACGGTGCCATGGAACCCACACAGAGAATTTTACTACTGATTTTTGTTCTGGCTGTCCCCACATGTTGTCTCCAATCTTTTCACAGCAAAAACTGGAGAGACTGCCTGAGGTTGAAAGGGCTTTTGTGCATGTGGATTTTGACTCGGAGCATTGCCCAAGATCAGAGCACATCTACTAGGTTATAGTTTCTCAGGTTACCAAAATTTAACCCCAGAATTTACCAAAATCACCATCATGTTCAACTGTTTATATGGCTCGCCTCTGATTCCTCTGTTCCATTCCGTCCTGTACAATCTTTTTTTAAATTTTGTAGAGAGAATCTGGTCCAGGATCTATGGCTTTTTTCATTAGCAATTTTTACATGGTTTCATTTAGTTAGAAGCTACCTCCAATGTACTGCCTTTTGGTAAGAAATCCCAGTGAGAATTGATTGATGTATCTTTTGGATCAGAGGTCTGTCTAGAGAACTGGTAAGGAATCAAACATGTATGTCAGTCCAGAAGTTCTTTACTTCTTCTTCCCATAAACACCAAAATTTATTTGCCGTTTGTAGTTTTACTGTGCAAATAATTACTTTTTATGAGCTCATCCTTAAAAGGGCAGTTGGCCTGCTGTGTTGTGTTTTACAGCTTGGCTGCGATATCTTTGGCCCAACACATCAATTTAAAAAAAATACAGACATAATTTATTTTTTTGCTGTTTCTTGTCATATGCATTCCTATGGAGTTATATCAACTTTTTTTAAAATTCTGTGCCATCTCCACATTAAAGGTTGGCTACCGTGTATTATTGCTGTCTTTGGGAATATTCTGTGGTGAGGCTTCAATTGCATCCACGAGGAGACTTTCGGACCATTCTCCAAAAATCTTGAGAATGAATTTTTAATCGCCCACCAGAGAACAAACCCAATTAATCAAGGGTCATGAAATTATTAACCGAATTCACTAACCTCTAAGCCATGAACATGTAGTAGGTAGGTAGCTTGTACCCTACCAGGACATCACACAAGCGATAAGCACCTATTGACACAAAGTGCCACCCTGCAGATAAGGGTCATCAGTAGAGAGGTCCCGGAAACCCCGTTCAGCCATATTTATGGCCCAGCTATATTTAAGGCCCCCAGGCAAAAGCCGAGGTGGGGCTTCAAAATACAAATAAAAAATTGCATCCCACTAGGGAACGACTTGTATTGATATAGCCATGAACATATGTCAAGACTAAGACTAGATAGTGCACTACAGACAGCCCTGTCACTGAGACATAGTGGAAGCATATCTAGAGATCCAAGCAATTGACAGATGGAATATCCAAGGCACTGAAGACCAGTATCTACACAGCACACACCATTCATGCCCAATACCTCTTCAAAACCTGACGCTTAAAGGCAGAACAGGACCAGAGGAGAAGACGAAGAAAGAAGTAGAAAAAATGAGTGCTACCACGATGCATGACAAACTAGAAGTGGTAAGGCCCTTTGGAAGCAACTGAAAACAAAATATTAAAGACCAAACAAATCATTAAAGTCTGGAGAGAATGGGGCAGTAGGAAGTGACCAGAATTTTTGGCAGACACTCAGTACTCAGAGAACAGGCAAAGCAGACATATAGTCACACTGGTGGTGCAGAAGAGCTGTTTGGATAGCAAGAAAAGATAATTTAAAACTACGTTTTTTCTGTATGAATCTGAATAATCAGAGCACAGCCCTTATTCTGTTATTGCACTCCATTCTTGGTTTCAGCACTGCTATCTTATGGACACAGTAATTATAGTCTCATTTTCATACCACATATTTTGTTGGTATACAAACAGTAACAGATCCTTTTCGTGTCAGTGGCACATTGATCGTGTCCCACATTTGTATCGCCCCAATGGGCATTCAATAGAGTATGTGGTCAGCGTCACGCTGGCCACCTTTACCTCCCTGTACAACTCCTGGTATCTATTTTTTCTTCGTTCATTCAAGGAGGTAAATGCATTGTGCCACGGACATGCGTCTTTCACCATTAAGCCACAATTCCCGCCCAAGTGATGTGATTATCTATATAGATGGTTCTGTGTTGAGGGGCAGACAGAGTGCATGGGGTTTCATATCAAAGGTGAATAGACGTCGCCTAGTGCAGCAAAGCCTTGCATATGTTATTACAACGTCTAGTTTGAGAATGGAGGTGGAGGCAGTCTCTGCTGCCTTCAGCTGGCTTGAGAATCAGCTGTACACACATGCCGTGATTGTAACTGACTTACAGAGCATGTTGGAAAAGGTGAAAACAGGCATGCTTCATGCAGAGTGGCAAGCATCACTTCAGAGGTCCCGGGTAGTTAGCATCCTTTGGATATTTTCTCCAAGTCATGCCGGTGTGTTGGGAAATGATCAGGCAGATAGACTGGCTGGCTCTGTACCACTTGGTGGTGAAATGATGTATGACAAGTTAGATACTGTGAGGGTCCTTTGGGAGCGAGTGAACAGTGCAGAGACGCAGATAGATCATTACTATCTAAGAAGAATGGCGCTGCGAGGAGTTACCAGGTGATCTGGCTCACACTCAACGGAAGGATGAGACAATCAGATGGTTACTGGTACCATCAGAATTGGAACTCTTCGCTTGCTGCTAAAGATGGGGACTGAGTACTGTGATGTCGATTCATAATTCAACATTCACCATTCGGCCAACATATTAGACTTCTGCAGGTATTTGTTGCCTGGGTTATTTTTCCCGGTTAGTTTCACAGGACACTACAGTCTCACTGTTATTGTGTGATCATCTTGCTGGTCAGCCCTCAAAAGAAGGCAGGGGTAGAACCTGAGCATTCTCCGCTATTTAATGAGGCTTCCATAAAGCAGAGCCAACACATGGTGCTCTGATTACTGGGCTCCCCAAAGAATCACCACGTCCTGCTCATGACTGTTAAGCCTCACTTCCGTATATTGAGCCTCTTACCACCAGTTTGCCTTTAGAAGCCAGGAGGCAGCTTGCAAACTTGGGATGTCAGTTTCCTACACAGAATGAGTAATTTGCTTCTTATGCATGTTAGATTTCCATTGCTGTGTCCATTATAGTTTCATAGGTATCTATTTTAAACTGGCTCAACCTAAGAGTCAGGCAGCTTTAAAAAAAAATGTGCTTTAATGCGGATGTTAACCCAAGATATCTAGGCACGCAAACATCTCATCATTACGCTAAAGTGGCTATCACATATTACTTAGAAGAGAGAGAAAGAGTTAAAATCTTATGTTTTTGTTCTAGCACTGTTGTCTCAATCGATGCAATAATCTACCTCCTAGTTATATACCAAATATTTTGTTAGTATGAATTCATTGAAATATCTGTATTTACAGTGTTTTCTAAATTAAATTTGCTTCTGTTTTGGATTTGCTTGTTCCTGCTTTTATTATCATTGTCTTTAAAATCGTTAGATATACATTATCAGTGCCATCTCCATCATCATACTATCACCACCATCAAGACTGTATTCATCATCTTTATCATCATCATCACCACCAACATCATTGTCATTACTACGTCTATAACCATCATCATCACCACCAACATAATTGTCTTTACTACGTCTATAACCATCATCATCACCACCAACATAATTGTCATTACTACGTCTATAACCATCGTCATCACCACCAACATAATTGTCATTACTACGTCTATAACCATCATCATCACCACCAACATAATTGACATTACTACGTCCACCACCAACACCACTGTCATCATCACAATATTCCCTGGGTGGGAAGGTAGAGGGGTAAATCATTGCTCGTTATTGAGGATGTCCTAAAAAGGTGACTTAATTAGCGATGTTTCCTTTGAAGGTGGGGTGAATCTGCCAGAGAGCTCAGTAAAATGGATGTGCACGCAAAACTCGAGATCTGGAACAAGACCAAAGTCCAAAAATGGACAAACAACCTGAACTTTCCTCCAGGGTTTACAGGCAGTGAACATGAAAAAGAAGGTCTTCCACTACGGTATCAGTCATACTAAAGAACTTATCCAAATTTATTACTTTTCGGAAAAAAAATGCAATCTAAAGCTGAGGTTTTTCCCCAGTAAATGATACCATGTACCTTATGCAGACCCCTGGGGGCCTTACAATGGTGAGACAATGAAAAAAACTAAGAAACATACTGATACAAACAAATCAGATTTGTAAAACAGTTGTGCACGCAAAACTTAAGCTTTGGAACAAACCAGAGTCCAGAAGTGGTCGAATGACCATAAAAAAAAATGCCAGATTTTACAGCAAGTGAGTGCTAAGAAAAATACAAGTAATTTTTAAAAAAAATATGCACTATTATCACAGGCAATGCAAGCGTTTGATTAGGTAGTATACTTTATTTTAGCTGAACCTGTATTCAACATTACTTTGTGTTTTACCTGCAACTGACATTCAGTTTATTTAAGGTATCTTTATCATAACCATCACGTTCAGAATTACTGAATGTTTCTTTCCTCTTAATCAACAATCAGTATTACTAAATGTTTCTTTTGTACAATCAAAATTCAACATTATTTAACATTTTTTGGGTAATCAATATTGTATATTTATTACATAACCAGCATTCAATATAATTTGATGTTTCGTTTTCTTATAACCAACATTCAACATCATTTAATGTTTTTTTGTTTGTTTGTTTGTATAACCATCATTATTAATTGACACATAATATAATTAACACATGCACTGATGCATATTTTTATCACAGAATCAAATACAACATTATTCAGCATTTCTATCATATGGATAGAAAGCAACAATTTATGTCTCTATCATAAAATTAAAATTATAACCAATATTTAACATTATAAAAAGAAGCTAAATCACATCTGGTCTTGTTGCACTCATCATGGAACCAACATTCAACATTATGGAACCAAAATTCAACATTACAAGAAAAAGCTAAATCACTTCGTCTTTTTTCGCCCCAAGGATTAAGGAATCAATCTTCAGTATCATATGCAGAAGTTAAATCACATCTTGTCTTGTTACACATAGCATAGAACCAACATTCAATATTATGGGACCAATATTCAATAATTCATGTGATGACATGATTCAACATCACGTATCAACAATCAACATTAAGTAAAAATACCAAACCACATCTTGTCCCGTTGCACCTACATCTGTGATGACATGATTCAACATCAAGTATCAACAATGAACATT